ATTTCCAAAAAATAAAATAAATAATGAAAAATATTTTTTTTTTTTTTACCAGCTATTCGATCAGGTAATACTACACATCGTCCATGAAACCAACCATTACAACCATCACATTCAATCATAAAATCATCATGATTATCTTGTTCATTTAATTCATCTTCACTTTTTTGACATATACAATAACGTCGTTCATTATTATTTATTTCAGATGAATTTTTTGTTGAAAAAAGTATTTGTTGAGACATTTTCTTATTTATAATTATGAGTTTTAATCAACTAAATATTTAATTATACGATTGATATCTAAAGACAAAAATATTTTGACATTAAGATTCGATTGAGTAAAGAACGAATAAAAATAAGATTTATTGATGAAAGATAGCAGCACATGTGACCTAAATGATAGAACTAGTTAAATTATATAGATGTCACTTAGATTAGGTCAATGAGTTCAGATTTTCATTAATATGTGTTACTGATTATAAATAACAAGAGACCCATGACAAATGATATTTTCATAGTTTATTCTCTAAAGACATTTTTTTTTCAAAAGAAACAACAACAGAGTGTACTACAAGATGCAGCGTAAAAAGCTCTACAATCTATGGTGTATTTTAGTACATTTAAAAAATGACCTTAACCTATATATATAAAGTCATTGCACTACATATCTAATCAATTTTTATCTACGTCATCAAAAGTAATCAGAACATCATACGCTTTCTAACTATATATTAGAAATTCTTTGTTCTGGATTAAAGTTAGTTCATTGAAAACAAATCTTTGATGGTGACAAATATTCAGAATTTTATTTTTTTTACTAACTTACGGTTAGTTAGCTGTAAGCAAATATTTAAATAAGTCGAAAATGTTGTTTGCACTAATGAGAAAACTTCTTCCGCTACCTCCTTGTGATTTCAATGATTTTTTTGTCTATAGGTACTACATAATGTTCTAATTAGAATTCTAAAACGATTTGAATTCCTATTGAAATTTGACTAAATTATCGAATTTTTAATATGTCTATTATCTATAGGTCATAAGTTTTCAGAAAACTCCTATTCTGAAATTTTGATATGAAACAGAAAACTCGACTAGACTAGCTTCCATAAAAAAAAGTTCACAAGATTTGAACACAGACTCTACGAGTAGAGCCCATCCGAGTCTGGATCTGAGTTCAGATATTCTTGGATCCGATGGATTCTATCTATGAGATATCAGACTTTTATGATATAGATCTTTTTTCGAAGATAGTGTACATAACATGCATTTATCTATATGTACAAATTTTTAGATTAAAATTCAAAAATATGAGTTTTCCGAAAATCTAGGGTCCTAGAGGAGACTTTTGAAAAAAAGTCAAATCTCAATAGGAATCGAAATCATTTTAGGGCTTTTATTATAACACTATGAAGTATCTATAGGTAAAAAAATCATTTAAATTGCAAGAGGATCCCTCGTAATCATAATAGGCTTTCTTCTATTATTCATAACTTCTCTGAATGAGATTTTAGTCGAATTTCAGTATTTGGAATGTAATAGATTTCGATCATTTTTAGCAATATCTAAAAAAGAGAAATGAATTGAATATTTTGTAGAACAAACCTCGATCTACAATCTAATGCATAAAAATACTTTCTAATAATTTGGATTGAGATACTTTTTATCAAAATATAAAACTGAACTAAACGAAACATTTTGTAGAGACGTCTATCAAAGGTTTGTTCTTGATGAACTAACTTTAAACCAGAAAAAAATTCTTAATATGTAGTTAGATAGAACATAAAATTCTGGTTCTAGTTGATTACTTTTGATTCTCTCCAGTAACTTATAAGTGGATGCAAAGAAAATTTCATGTATTTTATATACAATCACAAATGGCTGCCAAAGAGTCCTGATCTCAATGTTCTGGATTATTACATGTAAGATGCTATTGTCAATAATATGCAAAGGATAAAGTTAAAAACTATGATTTATTAATTGATTAATTAAGAAAAAAAGAAAATCCATCGTATACTAATAAATGATATTGCTCACACAGAATTATGCTTATTTTGAAAAGAAAAAGGCACACAAAATGTAAATGTGCGACTATTTATTACGGGTTATCCGTTATTGTCAATGTGTGTTTTATTGAATTGAAGCAACTGTTACGTGTTATTTCATATTGCCAACGATAACCTAGTATTATTAGTTAGCAATTCGGAAGGAAGACGCCGTTTGTGAATGTAAATTTACGATTTGATGAACTAAAAATTGACTAATAACGAGTGTGCCGAAAGTTTTAGACATAATATTTCTTCATTTTTTGGTTGGATTAAAAGGGTTAGCAGAAAATATTAAACAATTAATTAGAATCGCAATTTTCTATTCTTTTCAAATTTATGTTTAGAGATTTTTTTCGAAAATCATAGATTAGGATTTATATGAAAGAAGCGTCTAGAATAAATGTAATATAAATTCTAAAAATATCAATAGAAAGAGCAAATATTTTTCTATAAAAAGCATACTTTGATCATGAGTTTGTTGTTGTAAGGCGTCTATCAATAATGAGAGTTTTACAAAGCGATACAATGATTTAGTTCCAGTTCCTTGATTTTCAATGCATATGCTGATTAGAAAAAAATTCAAAAAGCGAATGGGATTAAACGAAATCAACTTCTTTACAAAAGTAACGAGAAAAATTATTGAACAACAGTATGAAATCAATTTCCAACATGATATGATCACATCCACCGTTTCAGGATTAATTAGTGATATCGTCTTCGTCTAAACTTTAGTTTCAGGCTTTTGATTCTAGTCAAGTGTTTAATACTTGCTGCTAACCATCTTAATCGATCGAAAAATGAAGAAATATTTCGTCTACAGATTATCGATGTACCCATCAAAACCTCAAACAACTAATGGGATAATAGTTTAAATCTGCATTGTTTTCTTTGAATTAACATACTTGAATCCTAATCTGTTATGCATTAACTAACAAACCTTTTAAAGTGAAATACTACCTGATAAACATTAATTTATGATCATTGAGTACTCACTGAAAATATATGCATTGATGTGAAATTTGTTTTTTTTTGTGTTATATATTAAAGTACATACTCAAGCAGACGCTTGTTAATAAAACTATCGTTTCTGACATGAATGAAATTTGTCATGCAAGATTTATGTACTCTTTAGACTTCTATTAACTATGTCGAATGAAATAACTATAAGATTCTATCAAGTAGAAATTCTTATTTTTTCTTTCTTTGTATGTCAACATATAATTATTTCTGAATAATTGACTTAATTATATGAAAAGAAAAAGTACAGTAATACTATACACATTTTTTAGTCTCGTTTATTGTATTTGTTTGAACTTTTCTATTTAATTATAAATATCTAATTTATAAAATTGAATTTAACATATATTTTCTAGATTTTATTTCTGTATTTTCATCGAAAAATCATTATTTCTTTTTCAATAACACTTGTTCGTTGTATAAATATTTCTACAATAAAATTTGCCTAAAAGAACAAATTTTATGGTTATTTACTACCATAAACTTATTTGTTGCTTTTTACTTTTACTGTATTTATCAATTAGATAATGGATAATTAATTTCAATTCTACAATAATTTTCTCTCCATGTTTGATTATTGGATTTTTGTCTTGAAGATAACAATTTTTCAAATTAGTAGTATAAGTTTCATCATGTACTATATTCAAAATTTTGAATTTTATACGGAAATTCATTATCTTCTTATCAAGTCATATTTGTAGATGAAAAAAGAATCCTAGTGAATGTTGTGAGTTCAGAGTACTCTATTACCTGTATGTCACAAGAATCTTTGCATACTTCAGTACTTTAGAGTATATTATGATTTTTAAAAGCACTTCACTACAAAATACTTCTAAGTACCCAGGATAATTTGTAGTCTTAAAGTATCTTGAAGGAGCATAGAAAGTGGATGAGTGTGGAAGCCGGCGAGGATACTCAGAAGATCTTCACTCACACCGACCTCAGCGATGAATTGCCCGGTTACCATGTTTCAAAATGTTCAATCTATGAACGCACTGAAAAATTTTTCATAGAATATTATAGAAACTGGATAGGCCTCCGGTAAGCACTCATGTACTGGGACAATTCTCAGTAGGGTACCCAACTAACATCCTATGACATACCGGCAACAGGATACCTGAAAAGACAGTCTACTAACAACCGATCCAATGCACGAATACTTTGAACTTAACCTTGACTCATCAAAAAGCTGAGTATATGTGATTGTATTGATATACTAGAAAATCCTACACAGGCATTTATTCATCTACAAAATGGCCTATTATTCATATCGAAAAGAATCTTTTGCTGACTACAGTACACTGAAAAAGTATTATAGCAAATTTACTATATTCCTCATATTTGCATAAGTAATACTATGGCACTTGTTTCTTGTAATGTATTTCTTTAAATATTGAATTTCTTTAAATATTAAATTTCTTTAATAATTACATATTTTACTTTCATATCAGCAATATAGAGGACAAAACAAGAGAAGAACTCTAATAATGGCTACCATTTGACGTTTTTCTTTTTTCTTTTTTTCTTTCGTTCTCTATTGACTCTACTCACACCTACACATAATTTTACTTGTGCATAAAAAAAACATGACGTAAGATATTGCACATGAAAAGTCTATTTAGATGAAATCTCATATTTAGAAATAGATATAAATATTTCGATTTTAATAGAATTATTCTACATATATCTACTAATATAAATAATCAAAAATAAATTTTATTTAATAAATATTCTACATATAAATATTAATATATTCTTTATTTTTAATGTGTTCTAGGTAAACACAATCTACCTATATATATATTCATTCATTCCTCTCATTTCACACACACACACACACACACATTTACTTACACGAGCATATAGACAGTAAAGAGAGAACCAATGTCTCCTAAGAAAAGTAAAACCACAAAACCAGCATTAAAAAAAGCGGGAACGATGGTGACTACTGCAGCTGTAAGACAAAAAAAAATTGTTTTTTTTTTTTACTTTAAAACTATATCTCGTATTTAATATTATTATCTAGACTGGTCAAGAATATTTACAACGAACATGGGGTAAAAGTCGATTAAATGCAGTTAATGCTTTATATGCTACACGTAATGATCCAAAAACAACTTCAACAATATCACAAACTAAACCAAACTTATCAAAAACACGAACAATGCAAAATACAACAAAAGTATGTTTATAAAATATATTTTATTTAATTAAATTAATTTAAAAAAAATATAAAAACAAAAAAGGAAGCAAAAGAATTACTTGGTCAACAAGTACTTGCTGATACACGTGCCGAAACTAAACGTCGTCAAGCAGCTCTAATGGCTAAGAAAACACTTGAAAAAGCCAAGAAAACACTTGAAAAAGCCAAGAAATCAAAACCTGGACGTAAACCAACTTTAAAACGACTTGGTACAATGGCTAAAACAGCAAATGTATATTTTCATTTTTCTTATTTAAGTTTTTTTTAATTTGATTTATTTTTTTTGTTTTTCTTACAGGAAGGCAAAGCATATATAAAACGAACGGGAAAGAAAACAACTGAACAAAAACGTAGAAGTAGTCGAACTAAAAAATCTACAAAATAAATAATGATTTACATGACATTTAAGAACTTATTTATTATTTTGTGTGATTTTTATCCGTAAACTTACTTTGACATTTTTATTTCAAAATGTGTTTTTGACTTTAGTATACAGACAATTTTTGTTTTGTTCAACAACACATATTTCGTGTTGATTTCTTTTTTTTTTTTGTAAATCGTGATTCATTATTAATGTGTATAGATTGTAAACGCTTTCATATATTATATGTGTAAAGAAAATGTTACACTTCATTATCGATTACTTATAATTTGTCCAAATTTTTCTGGACGTAAGAGATTATTATCAAATTTTCCTTGTCGAACATTTCTTGTTCTTTATACATACATTTTGTGATTCAAGTGAGCGGTATTTCTTCTGTTCTTATCTAATTGTTCAATGAAAACATCATAAGTATAATATATATTTTTCCTTTTTTGTCAAAACAGTTTTCAACATCAAAGAAAAACAGGATACGCTTTTATTTTTATTCTTATATGATTCATATAGGTATCAATTTATATTTATAATAAGAAGGCTAAATGTGTGAAAGAGTAATTCAATTACACAATTATTTTTTTCATGTCCTTCACAATTTCTATATTCGGTAAAGAATATAATCACGAAGTATGAAAGGAGTGTACAAATATATATATACATATATATGTTTTAACGTCGGGTGAATAAAATAATATGACATAAAAGGAGATCGAAGTATAGCGTAGCTTCTATGAACATGATTGACTTTTCAAATGAAGAAGAAGGAGAATAGTGAGGATGCGGATGAATACAAAACACAGAGCCACGTCCTAATTGACTTTCTATTTACCTTTGTTTTTATTTAGTTTATTATCAAAGGTTTAAAGTTTTTCATTCATACTGTCTAGCCTAGGTTTTATTATTAGAGAATTTCATCCGAAAGTCAATCAAAATTTAACATACATGTACAATCGCAAGTATTATCTATTTACACACTAATGTAAAATATATCGTACGTTTTGTACTTTACATATTTTATAATAAATCAAATCTCTTTATTCTTTCTTAAAAAATGTGTTTTCAGAAACAGATTTTGATATTAGATAACATTTTCTATAGAGGAAATTTCAATAATCTATTCGAGAATTTCTTTACTAATAATGAACTGGTCACTGCGCTAAAGATCGTTGCGTAAAAGTCTTCTTGGGCTTCTATTTTAATATTTAGTCTTTTTCTTGTACTAAAACAAAACTGAAAATAATAGTGTTTAAAGACACTCTCCGCCTAAAAAAAAGTCAATTGTCGTGAAAAACATTATAATTGAGGTGAACACATGAGAAGATAGCTCGAGACCGGATCTTTCATAGATGACATGGTTTTTTATTTGTTACCTCGTTTTTTCCAAAAGTGTCCGTCATTTTCTGTGTGAAAAATATGGTTTTTCAGATAAAATGGAAAATCTTTTTCGCTTTCTCTCCGTTTGTGTTCTTTTGATCGAGCATCCCAGAATTCTCGAAAGAGCTTCACTGTAGCGAGTGGCTTTTTTTATTGTTTGAAAGACCATGTCAAGATACAGAGCATGAGAGACCTCGTTTTTTGTTGAATTAAGCTTTGTTACTATTATATAAAAGAGTACTTTTATAATTAGAACGTCATTTTTTGAGAGTTTTTTTGGAACATTGAATTTTTCATTTCTGTTCTCTCCTTAAAAAGTAAGAATTTTAAAATATAGGTCTCTATCATGTCCTGCATCCTGACATGCTTTTTTGAGCAGAAAAAAATTAAGGGTGCTTCCTTAGAAAATCAAATTTTTCAAAAGACTATCGCAATTGAGTTTTTATCACAGGAAGATGCAGCGAAGCTTCCTCTTTCAGAATATATAGATGGCTGTTTGGAAAATGACCAGATTTTCAAAGACTTATCATATGAAACTTTGACTTTACTGCAATATTTTCGGGAAAATTTTTGTCGTCTTTTTAAGTTTTTAGTTTTGGAAAAACTGCATTGCCACTTGCATTATCATTGAATAGAACATTTTTATATTGACTAGCACGTTAGATGGCGTTAGCTACCTTCATTTATTACATACTTTAAAATGTTCCACTGGAATATATTAAAAATGCACCATTGTAACATGGTTTGTTCTGGATTTGAATGAAAAAATTCATTTCTAAAACTTCTTAAACGTGTTTCTCAAAACATGGTTTCTACTCAGAAAACCTGAAATAACTCTCTCTCGGCTCGGGATATCACCAACGAGTTTTTTCTGTTTTAAAGGTCTTAATCAGAGCTAAGTTTTCAGCGGACAGATTTTTGATACTTGATTCCTGGACTGAGAAAAGTGATATATATTGTCGATCGAGTCACCTTTTTTATGCTTATTTTGAACACCATGTCCACTAGAACGCTCATGAAAACTGAATGGAAGAGAGTTTCAAAATTCCGTTCGATGAAGAGTTGCTCACAGAGGCTAGCTTTAATTTGAAACCAGTTCGAGCTCTGTAAGCATTATGGCAACAGAGTTATTTCGATTCTCATGGAAGGTAGAAAAACAAGTCGGAAGTTCAGTCTAGTCAGGCATGTCAGGGTGAAATTTTTATCACAAGTGTTTCTCACTAGGACCACTCATTTCTGAAAATTTCAGTTCAAGTGATTCGTTCTAAGTGGGAAATCAATTCTGGAGGACCCCTTAAATGGTCTCGACAATACAGTACTGAGTCCGTATCGGAGTAGAGAAAAACTCGAAACTAAATGATAATTGTCTATTGCAATCACTGAAATATCATTTTAAGTAAATTAAGTGGATTTGTCAACGCTTAATATCAATACAAATAAGTGATGATTGCGGAGTTTTTTTCCATTAATATTGGGTCTAAAGTAAAGCGGCCAAATACTTTATTTAGTTAAATTGCAATGAAGAAAATGGTCCATCCCACTAATATTCACAAGCATAGCTACACCACACGGAATTTCGCAATTGTATAGGAATCCATAACCTTCGAAACTAATTAATGGATCTGATGGAGAATGAATACTCAGACCAAAATTGATAGAACTTTCGTAGCATATGCAATACTTGCAGAGATTCTATCGACAAAATCTTGCTGCTTGTCGAACAGCAGTAAAGTCAACATAGAGAAATTTCGTTTTCAGTGTTTGCTTTTCATTCGCAGAGTAAACATATAGGATCTTTCACATTTCGAAATTCAGTTAACCTTGCGAATGATCTCTCACTTGAAATGTTTTCGAAATTCATACAAACTCCAGCTGTTCCCATTTCTTAAATCAACAAAATCCAAATCGATACCGAAATAATTTTTCCTGCTAATAGAAAAGTCAAAAACAAACTTTGCTACTTGCATTTATACGGTGTCATATGTGCGTTTGCTTCGAAAAACTCAACATTTGTCAGTAATACAGCAATCTATCAGTGTAATTGCTCATTCGATTACAGCATTTTATTTGAATGAATAAATATTAAAATATTCATCTAGCTGATGAGTAGTACTATGCAACAACATTTACTCATCGGATGACAGCTTTTCGTCATCATCGATCTGTTATCAATTTAAGACATCAATAAATATATGTTTTTGTGTGCTCCTCAATTTATCTGTTTTCTATTCGATACATGTATCACTGGTACAACATGGGGGCCAAATACGAGCATTTGTATTTTCAATAGTTGTTGTTCGATGCCCATATGCATGCCATGAACCTTGACCAGTCAATGTAATTCATTGAATGCCACCATTTCAGATAGATTTTCGTTTGAAGAATTACGTATGTTAATAATCTCTTGATGAGTTTTAATTGGGATCAGATGTTATCCTATTCTTAAATGTAACCAATACGATCGCTTGTTTGCCCACAGTACTAAACTTTAAAAAACATAGACAATAGAAGTTCCTGAGAAAAAGCGAGAGTAATCGTATCCAGCATCATGCTGATCTTCATCCGATTCGTTGTGAAATTTGTATTTGGTCACTTCCGAATGGTACCTCCATAATATCTATAGAATTCAGCTATACATAGCTGTACGACAAAATATTGCAGCATCTCCACTCAGTTTTAATTGATAAGACTGATTTTTTTTTTGGTTGATGATAGATGGCTATTCGAAGTTCTTTCATAAGTCAAACAAAGAGAAAAATCTGAATTGAGTCAATACTATTGATTTCAATAAGTATACATAGTCTTGTACTAATTCGAAAAGAAAGTATGTGGTTGTATTATATCTTAAAGAGTTCACTGCAAACAAGGAAACCAATATTTAAAAATCATATGTCACAAGATTAGTCTTGTTAAGAGGTAATGATTGCATATTTTGTGTCGACAATCATATAATTATCTGAGACTGATAGTTCATTTATAAAAGAAACCTCAAATTGTCGTTATGATTTACTATGTTGTTCGACGGCAACATAAAACCTCCCAAAAAAAGTCATTCCTTTATGTATTTTCATTCATTTTGAATGAAATGTAAAATTTTCAGTTTGCTTCGAAAGAAAAGCTTTCTTCAACGGTTTTTCATCGAAAAGAACATATTGCCCAACATCTGATATATCCATTATATCTGTCAACAATTGAGACAGACGAAAACATCGATGTTTAAACCAAAGTTGATTAATTGAATGACAATCCATGCACTTAAAAAGTAGGTACGATCAATGCTTCTCTATCAATCAATGTCAAGGTACTCTCTTCTCATCTATCGCCCTTCACATGTCCCATGTCTGCGTGAGAACGTAAACAGTTTCATGGTTCAATCGAAAAACATATATTTAAACTCTCTAATTACAGTTGAATCTCAGAAGGCCAAAATCCAATAATCCAAATTTGCACGTAGACATGTTTGCCATTGTTTGCAAAACAGGTCTCGAGAGGATATTAAATTCTTCGTTTTTCACTTCAACATTCATTCATTGTAGTGTTTTACTAAAAAAAACAGGGCTGTGAGGAATGACGAGTAGAGAAAGGTTTGGAATTCGAAATTTTTTTAATAGACCCAGCAGTCTCTTTGCAAA